CTTGAACACAACGAGAACAGTAATATGTAATCGCTTTAGTAATAAATTATTATACTAAATCTATTTTTAGAATTATTAATAAATATATTTAATATTATCTTTTAATCTATATTAAAATTAATTAATAAAGATTTTTTTATTCCAATCTATATCACAAGCAAGGTTTTAGAATTTAACATTATATATAGTAGTTGATAATAATCATTTTTATAAAGATAGAAGTTTTGTCTTTACTATCATTTTTCAATTGATTTTTTTAAATATAGCTGTAAATAACTTTAAAAGTAAATTTAAGTCATACAAGAATTATAAATCTTATTCTATCAAAGGTACAAAATAAGAGAAATCACTTTAAGATAGGAGTGCACTTATGAATCCAATTTAAGTAAATCCATTACATATTAGATAGGATGTAATATTAGATAAAGCTTAATTTATTATAGAAATTTTAATCTTATTCTATTAAATTTCTTTGGCAGATTAAATCTTAGTACTTTTATACTTGTAGTAAAAAAAGCTTCTTGGATTTAATTATGAAATTAATTCACTTACTTCTTTCAATTACAAAACTTCTTGGCATAGACATTAAAAATTATTGTTAATTTTTTTTTATAAGAATAGAAATAATACCTCTATAATTGACATTGGTAATGTGTAAAATTTCTATTCTAAATGCGTTGACAAGCATGTGAAGATTTACAATAGTTATAAATTTTTTCTCACTTCTATCAATTGTAATATCCATACTTTTTTCTTCTATATCTATAACAAAAAAAAAAATTAAAATGCACAAGCCAAATTAGAGGAAGATAATGTATAACCTCTAATATCAAATAATATTCTTTACAATAAAAGATAGTCCACTCTCTTTAGGGAAAGAATCAATGTTAGAAAATAAAATTATTAGTTCAAATAGAAGTAGTCTACAATCTTTAAAATACATACATATAAATATATATATATATATATATATATATATATATATATATATATATATATATATATATATATATTCTTAAAAAATTAAAATAAAATAAAAATATTATATTCTTAAAAAATTAAAATAAAATAAAAATATTATATTAATTTTTTATTAATTTTTTATAAATAAAAGTTTAAAGAATATAAATAAAGAAATTAGATATTTTTTTGAAGAATTATAATATATATATATATATATTGAAGAAGAAATTTACATGACTATTTCAAAGGACTAAAAAACTATAGACTCTTAAAACTAAATTAGAACAAAGAAAAAAATTAGTAAGAGTAAAAAAGACTTTACTCTTGCTTCTTTATATACTATCTAATTAGTAACTATATAGCATTTTTCTATAAGGCCTCAAATGTGTGTTTAGTTTACAAGATACGAGTTTAGCTTGCAAGGTAAGTTTTTTTTATATGCATCACATGACCAACTTATATTAGAATTTTCAACATGTGCAATACGTGGTCAATTTGTTGGCCAAGTTTTCATTTATTGTAATAAAAAAATATTTATTTTATTATAATAAGGTCATTTGTAAGTATTAAAAATATCTAATTTGAATATTACCTAATAATTAAAGCAAAAATGATATAATAGAGTAATAAATAATTTTTTTCAAATACATTATGTAGTTTCTTGTATTTGATAACTATTAGCCAAAATTATGTAGATTATCTTTTAAATTTACATAGAAATGAATTTTTTATTTTATTATATTTTTTAAAAAATTTTATATAAAAATATTTATATTAATTACAAACAATAGAATTTGGTCATATATCACAAAGTACCAAAAAGTCAATATATTACTCAAAGATGATATAATATTAAGCTAAAATAGCTACTTCCAAAGACAAGAAAACAAGAGACTCTTGAGATAAGAGTAAAGATTACAAAGGCATTGACAAGAATGAAGAGGATTTTACTCTTGCTTCTATATATACTATCTAAATAAGAGCTATGTGGCAATATTCTATAGAAACTCCAACACATGTCTAAATTATAAGACAAGTTCCTTACATGTGCATTATATAGCCAACTTGTATCAAAAGTTGCTAACATATAGAATACATGGCCAACTTATTGGCCTAATTTTCAACCCATCAATAAATTATGAATATGTCTAAAATCAAATTTGCATCTATAAAGCTTCTAAAAAGTTATGCTATAAGATATTATCAAATCTATTTATATTTATCTTTTACATAATACTTTTTATCTAGATAATTTATATGTCCATAGCAAAGTTAGACTTAAGGGTTGAAAGGATATATGATTGTTTATATGTATAGAAACAAATAGGAATTAAAAAAATATTAATAATTTCTTAAATATCTTGTAAAAAAGAATTATTTAATCAAATCATTACAATTTCAGGAAGTCAAATCAAACAATTTCGATGTTATCTTAAAACCTCAAATTTTAACTTTTAATATTATTATTTATAAATAAACCAAAGTAATTATTACAACCTTCAGCATTACCTAAGTATTAGAGACATAATCAAGACTAGTAATTACTTAGATAATAAGAATTCGATAGAAGTAAATAAAAGTAGATAAATTATATAATATCTTATAGAGAAGCTTCTTAGAAGATTTATAAATGTGGATTTGACTTTATATATGTTCCTACATAATTGGTAGGTTGAAAATTTTGCCAATAAGTTTGTCACATGTGACATACATTGGCTACTTGTGATATAAGTTGGTTATGTGGTACACATATTGAAACTTTTCTTACAAGTTAGACTTGTATCATATGTCCTATAGAACATTATCACAGAGCTTTAGTTAGATAGTATATATAGAAATAAGAGTGAAGCCTTCTTTATCCTTATCAATACTTTTTTTGTTCTTAAATTTTTCTTGAAGTATCTTTAATCTTCTTATCTTAAGCAATAGCCATGCTGGTTTTAATATTATATTATTTAAGTGATCATTTATTCTTTTTTAATAATATAAGAATGTATTGACTTTTTGGTTGTTTATAATTCATGCCTTTGATAATAGATGACTTGAAATCAAAATAAATTCTATCAAAAATTAAATATAAATTTATTATTAATAATATTAGCACAGGAATCTTTGAAATTTTGATTTTAATTTTTAAAATTTATGTCAAAAATTAAAATATTAAAATACATCATTCATTTAAATATCAAATTTTATACTTATATATAATAATTTATTATGGTTTTAGATTTTATATATATATATATATATATATATATATACATGTATATTATTATTTTTAAATTAATGATATTTTGTGATAGAAAAAATAGTCTTTAAAAATAAATTTTTAATGAATATAATTATTTTATTAGTAATTATAATATTTACATTTATTGTTCACATTAGACTTGGAAATGTAGATTAATTTATTTATAAATTTATAAGTACAAACAATAAAAGTTTGATTCTACCAAAATATATTATAATATATACAAGCTTATTAAGTCATATAAAATGTCTTATCATATAATATTAAGAAAAATTAAAATCAAGACAAAGACATGACTACCAATAATTAGAATGTTAAATTATTAGATTATATTCATTATTTAGAAATTAAAAGCTATTGATTATAATAGCCTAAAATTAAGCACTTATATATTAATATATTTGTCATATTTTCAAAAGACTCTTTAACTAATGGTAAAATCATTTAAGATTCTATTTTATATAATACAAGTATATCTAAACCTTCTTTGATAGTAGACATATTTTTTATTTTTTCTTATTTTTATAATTATTTAGGATTATTATGCACATCAAATCGACATTACTATGGCATTTTTAATACTGTACTATATATATATATATATATATATATATATACATATATATATATACATACATATATATGAGTTTAAAGACTTTAGTGCATTCAATAGAGAAATCCAAGGTATATTGCTTACATAAGTCTTTATATAGTTCCAAATAAATACAAAATATTTAATATAAAAAAATTGAATACATTTTTTTTTTAAAATTATAAATATAAATTAGATACTAATATTTATCTTAAGTGGTCACAACTAACTTTTGTCTATCTTGGTATTTATATACAATAATCAACAGCATTTTCTACTCTCTAGTTTAATAAAAATTTACTGCTTTAGCAAAACATGAAGTAAGACATTATAGCCATGTCTTTTATCAATGAAAATACAACAGCAAAAGAACTACTTTGTCTTTGATTCTTATTTAATGGACTTAATTACAAAAATTAAGCTATTAAACATGTTATTTTGTCATAATCAATTAGTAACTTTTCTTGGTAAGATTTCCAAATTTTATAAAGAAAATAAATATGTAGATATCAGATATCATTTTTTAGTATAAAAAAAATTATTCTTAGATTTTACAACTTGAGTATTTTTCCACTTTGACATGTAGTTGACATTCTTACTAAATCTCTACTTTAATCTAGACACAATATACATTCTACTATTTCTTTTTATAATAATAAAATTAATAATATTTATTTAAAGAAATAAATATATACATATATATACATATTCTAAATTTATAAATTAATATTTGAAAAGCATTCAAAATCTTATCATCATATCTCAATCATAATTATATATTAAATTTTAATTTTACTTGAGATAGGCATGCTATCAAAATTTATTTAAAAGTCCAAATTTTTTATCTCCGATTCTTATGTCTAAGTAACAATCAACCAAAATGTATTTCAATGGTTTTTCTTTTGTGATTCCAATGTCACCATAAATGTCACCAAATTTTTACAAAAAAAATTGTAAATATTATTCTTTTTCTATTACATCAATGTTTCACTTCAGTTTTGCAAGTTTTGAAGAGATGCCCAATACACTTGCATTGGAGGGTCTTTTATCTTTCATTAATCTCAACACACCCTCTTAACCCAAAGAGAGAGTTCTCTGGCAGTTGAACGACATTGTTTGGAGCGAGAGGGCTACGGAGGAGGGGGTGTCTGTTTACTGACTAGATTTTAAATCATATATAGGGTGAACTGCCAATTGAAGTTCCAAATTGAATCTGCGAATGGAGCTTATATGTGTGCAGAGGTGAATCGTGTGAACGAATTTATACAAAATCTGCACAATCTCAGTTTTGATGGCTTCAGCCAGATCTCATTGGACCACCACAGAGGTAACTTGACAGATTAAATCAAATGAGCTGAAGCTATCAATACCGGGCAGATCGGTAACTCTAAACCTGATGAGAGCCATGAATCTGTTGGGGGAAGGGCAAAAGACCCTATAAAATCATGAGTGGGGGCTGGTGGGGCTGTTACACCTAAATATTCGACTCCAGCTCCGGCGAATGCATGCTAGAGGGATCGGAGATATCTATGCCGTTGTAGTTGTGTGGATTTGCGAACATCCAGAACTCGTCGGATTTCAGCAGCTGAAACAGACAGCGAATCAGGATCAGAAAAGAATTCGAGAAACTGCAGCAACAACTTTTGGTAAGTGCAGGGGATGATTTATTACTTAGGTAATTCAATCAGATGTACCTCAACTTGAGTTTGCAAGAATTTGACGTAGTGTATGGCTTCGTCTAGCATGGTCACAATGTCAACCTTGGCTCCATTTGGCACGAGATTTTGTAAATTCTTCAGTCGTTCGTTGATTTTTTCTCGCCTATGCTGTAATAGATTCATGGAAGGGTTCCGTCAGGGTTCAGCCACTAAAAACGTATAATCATAACCGTGAACAGTTTAGGGGTTCGCTGCCTAACTCAGTGATGAAAATTTAACTGATTGGCCGGTGCCGTGGATTCACTTACTCTAGCGTACACACTCTGGGGATCGGTGGCTGAACCCCGTTTAGCTCGCGGCTTGCCATTAGTATTCAAGGCTGGGCCAATTACAATAATGTCCATCGCTTGAGATGCATTTAGACCAACATCACCAGAATGGAAGTAGGACCGCAGCTCCGCTCCTTTCAGAATATGATCGCTCAACAGGACATTCGCATAATCCGTCTGCGCAGTAAAAACAATAAAAAATAAAAAGTGTTAGCATATGGAAACAGTTCAGCATTTTGAACAGAACATTTCTCATTGAACAGAACGAATTGGTTAGATCTCTCAGATAATAAAAGTCTACATGTCTGGTTAATCATATGATGTCCTTGTGGACAAAGAACACGTACAGAATGTTTCGGCCGTTTGAGCTGGGTGGGACTTGATTTGGTGTCTTCACCATCGACTAGTTCCACGAGTTCAAGACGGTGTTTTCCAGGCCAAACTTGCTTCATACTTGACTCAGCTTTTTTGCAATCGCCCAACAGGCTACCCACCGGCGAGGTTATTGTGTCCCCACCTTTGAGAAGTCCTGGCTTGGTCTTTGTGCAGAATTCACTAGTGGCCTCCCCACAGCCGGCTTCACCCAGAGATGCGATGGCCCTCATTGGCTTGACCAACAGGCCCGTCGCCTCGGATCCATCGTAAAACTGCGGTGCCCACCCTGCCGGAGTCGACTGAAACGTCCCGTTGGGTTCTATGAAGACGTCAGTATGTTGTGGTTTCGACGCGCCGTATCCGGCAGTGATCGTTGCGACGGCCTCCAACTTGTCGATTGCACTTGCAGAGTGATCTGGAATGAAAGTCCTGGTTGTCACTTGACCGTAAGTCTGGCTGGCTGTGGTCACATTTGACCATGGCAATGCAGATGGACACGAATCCCAAGGGTCCCTGAGGGGGTTTAGCAGTCCATTCTGGAATGCCAGAGGCGAAGAAGGTGACAATGGCCCTAGGTTACGCAGAACCTGGGGAGGAACGCAGCCTTTTTCATATGCAAGTGGGACAGCAGACTCAAGCTCGTGATCGGTCAATGCTTTGTCCATGATCCTAGCCGTGGGGTATGGCAAAGAGTCCGAGGAGCTGCTTCTCGTATAAATATCTGTGAGAGCAGGATCAGAGTCAAGAATTAAACCACTGGGGATTAAACCCTCTTGCATGAATGCTGGGGGGTGATTCTCGCGGTCGGAGGTGTGGCTGAATTCGGAACTCAGGCTGCTTTGCGAGAGTGGGTGGTAGCCTGAGATCCAAGTGGAAAGAATGTCGCTTTGGTGGAATGCGAGACGACTGGAGGTGGAGGAATTCAGTTCGGGGAGGAAGTTGCTGGTAGAGACAGAATCGTCGCCGTTCGACCCTTGTGTCCATTCTTCCCACAAGTTTGAAGTTTCGGATGCATTTCCTCCCTGCTGGACGATGCAAGAGGATGTCTTCTCTCCGGCCGACGAGACCGAATCCATGCTTGGGGTGTGTTGGTCCGTCATGGCTTCCAGCTGCTCTTGAACCGGGTACATGTAGTTAAACCGCACCATCAAAATCTGTGATCACATAAACAAGCTACTCTGCGGTTAGTCAGGCATCAAACCCGAAGTCTACCAACCAAAACATCTCTGTCTAGAAGCAGCTCTTGTACCCAGGTAGTCTCCAAAGTTTCATCAGGGAGCACGTGACCAGAGTGAAACCAGTCAATGAAGATGATATATCCTCACTAATATTAACGAGATTCAAGTTGGAAACCTTGGATCACAGAGCTGTACTTGAACTCCAGTGTCTGAACTTTCGAGACTCACTGTGCCATTCATGATATACTCCTCTGTGAACACAATCCCACGAAGCAAATCCACCATTGATTAAGGTGCAGGGTTAAGGGTTGATGAATGTTACCCAAAACCACGTGGACTTCGGCAACTCTTACAATTGATGATACCGACACGTTCTCATGCAAGCTCAGTATGCTCAGAGGGACCTCATAACAAACGACACAAAGCGCCAGCAACAAGCATCGATGCAGAGATTAAGTCGAAAGTGTGGCTTGATGTTCTCACCGTTTCACTCTCGGGACTACATGTCCTTGCTTCTCGAGCCAGTTGTTACTTGGACAGTCGATGCGCTGAGGGTCTTCAGCATTACTCTGTCTATGTGATCATAAACGATGGCCTTTCTCCAAGATAGAAAGCTGGTGACCAGAACGAGAGATCATCCCTAGGACATCTAGCGCGCGCTGGTAGTGTAATCCTGCGTTGATATAATCGAGCTGTCCACGTTACCGATTATAATTCTAGTTCAGAGTCTCACTAAAATTTCAACCGTTCATATTCTTTGTTTCCCTCTCTTAAACTGTGGTATGGTGACCGACCAGGTTAAGCACGCTAACCAGTCGAAACCATCGCCTTACAAGGTATAAAAGTTTCTACACTCTAGCTGATTACACCAGAGTAAAAAGTCTCTGCAACAAACCCTCCATGCTCCTGAGTCTAAGCTTCCTACACCGTGAACCAGATTAGTGAAAGGCCGAAGCTGTAATGACGACGCATGTCGCAAATACACTTTTGGTCGGCTTCGGTGACGTTCAGCCGACCAGAAACAAAGAGGACGATCGGCTTTCTACCACATCCAACTTGGACTTGATCAATGTGGACCGTCCTTTCAAACTACGCTTAAAGGTTCGCAGGAGGCTGTCGAACTTTCTGATTCCAGCAGATTGTCTAGAGCAGCCGATCAGCTTCACGGGGAGCCATTGGTCAGTCGGCAAATCAAGAGACTGCCAGGCACACGGACGAAAATGAACGAATGTGAAGAGTGACCAGCATTCACGCAGTCGGAGCGCTTCTGGACTACAACATATATGTCTGAGGCCCACGGTCCGACGACTTTCTGGTCTTCGCCACTGCTTGAACCCTCTCGAACTAGGTCTGTCTAGTAGGTAGCCTTTTTAGGCCCCCCCGAACTTCGTACAGAAACAGTCTAGCTTGGAATATCCTGAAGCTAGCTAGCGAACTGATCCTTCCTAAACTTCACGAAGCTGTGAGCCACACATAACTTAGCAATCGTCGATTTGCTGTTCGCACGCTCTGTGCTATTGTAAGTGTGAGTTGAAAACGAAAACAGCAGCAGCATCATCAGGCTGAGTGGCGGGAGTGGATTAGCGCAGAAGCCGAGGCGAAGCAGAGATCCAGTGCGATGGGGGAGAGGATCGGGGGCGAGGGGGTTGCGGGGGAGGGAGGGAGGGAAGGGCGCAACTGCGTAGGATGGCAAAAAAGTTGGGCCCAAGCGCGGCTATAAAAAGCCTGGTGGGCGATGGTCGGAGAGGCAAGCGCCACCAGTGCCCAGAACGTGCATCAACCCATTTCGCGTTCAAGGCAGGCGTCCCTCCGCTGGACCCTGTTTCCCCACACTGCTTTTCACCGTCTATTTTCTTTTAAGAAATTTTACTACCCTAGCCAACTTGGGCATTAAATCCCGTCCCTGCTCATCAAAATCTCCCATTAGTCCACTCCCACGAACTTTCTACATTTTCCTTGTGCTGTCTCAATCAACCATCTCATCATCCCACAATGTCAATAGTTAAGACTTTCAAGGAACTAGCGGTTGTCCCCGATTGTCATCGCTGAGACCAATTGTGAACCTCAGGGCGGATTTAGAGCGACGCTAACTTGGGACGATCTTCCCACACCTCTACCATTTGTGCACGCTACGAAGCAAGCTAGAAAGGTAAAGTGTTACTCTCGTTGAAATCTATTGCAGGCAGCAGTCGTTATTCTTCGTTAATATTCACCATCTTGTCTAAATTCTATGTTTGTAACCGCTTCCTGGGCATCAAGAGACCGATTATTAAAAATTAAGAATAAAGTATAAAATATAATATGTAAAAGTTACTCCTCGGCGGCATTGCACCCCGGAACCATAAATTAGACAAAGGGTAACCTTGTAGTTGTACAGGATTCAGTAAATCACTTCAAAAGTCATCTACTTTCCATGTCGTGCTGCATATAGATGTGACATCACATTTTCTTTGACCTCCCCATTTTCATCTTGAGACGAGTATGGCAAAACATTGTCAATAGTGATACCTCCACACTGGTGTTAAAAAATAACAATAAATTAGAAGATTAGAAAGTTAAATTAAAAAGAAAACAAAAATGGAAATTGAGAAAGCTGAATTGATAATCCACATTTAACTTCGTCGCCCTCAACTCATGTGTACCCGTCATTTTAGGAAGGAGGTATTAGTGAGAGATTATTTTTTATAAAAAAAGGTTCAAAAGTTCAAAAAAACCAACAAACAAACAAACAGACAGAAAGGAAGAGTCAGGACAGAAAATATTGTACTGAACAGAAGCACACCAATTTTACCATATATTTCAATTTTTACTTTACTTAATTTTGAAAGCGTTCTTGAAACCACAAGACGTTTGCTTTATTCATTCATACTAATGCATTCGTAACTAGGGAAGCACTGACAGGGATGAGCTACAGAGCTCAGTTCAGATGAAGCAGTTGGACAATCTCTATAACATCTGTGATTTAATGCACACACAAAACTGTTGTACCTGGAGCAGGCAATATGTACCAATCATCAGTCTCAACTAGATTCCAGTGGAGTGCACGAGGACAACCGAGGCCCCTGCCCGGTTGGACAACCACAATTTTTTTGAACCTGGGAGATGAACTGATCCTCGGCCTGCTTCCAAATTCCATTCAATTCTGCAAACTGTACATAGAAATATTCACCGCAGTTACTCATGCCGGGGAGGGCGGGTGTGGACTTTTAAATCTATTACACAAATAATAACCGCATTGCATGCTGAGCCGCGGTACATGTAACCTTTGTGTCGCAGTAAGTAGAATTGATGGAACTAGCAGCAATGCTTCCACAACTGGCGTCCATCACGCTCAATGGAATAGCGGAGGGAGGGAGGAAGGGAGGGATCCGGGACTAGTGTTCCTCTCCTTTTTCCTCACTCCCTCCCTCCCCTTGCTCCACACTGTCCTGCACTAGTGGCTCATAACGTCGGTGCCCCTCATCCATTCTGAACTTGGCCAAGTTGTTTCTCCACTTCTCATTCGCTGTAGCCAATGAGCCCTCCCTACCCCGCAACTTCGTCTTGTCCTTTCCTCCTTCGTTTGGAAAAGAAACGGAACAGGTAAGAAGAAGAAGGGGGAAAAAAAATTTTACGAAACAAGTTAATCATGTAGACTAAAGTCACTCTTGGGGAGAAGCATCCAGGAAGAGAGGGTGCTTCTGTAGTGGAAGCTCCTGTGGAGTGGCATGAGGCTTCCACTTACAAATACAGCAGGGCAATGGGCCATGGGCATGGGTGTAGTGAAGGGCTTTCTTTAGTTGTGGCCTGCTCCAGTGACACACACACAAACACAGTCATACAGAGAGAGAGAGAGAGAGAGAATGTGTGTATGTGTGTGTTTGTGAGGGAGGGAGAGTGAGCTTGTGAAAAGTGGGGAATGAGAGTAGGTAGGTCCATATATGTGTTGGTAGATAATATTACATTCCCTCCTTGCTTCCATCCCCCTTCCCCACTTTGGGGTTTAGGGGGTTTCTCAGTCACTTCAGTGGGCAAAAGGCAGCAGCATCTCTCCTGCCCAATTCATTTATTTATCTATCTATGTTTGTATCTATTCTATGTATGTATGTCTATGTCTCTATCTATCTATGTATATCCTCATCCTCCTTCCTTGTCCTCCCTCTCACCCTCCTCTACAACATGCTACCATGTGGGACAAACTCCTGTGGAATCATTCTGTCCCATTCCCTGTCTCTCTGTGATTGTACTCTTTGTCATAGCCCCCCCCCCCTCTGCCCTACTTGTCCAGAGCTGTCCCCTGCCTGTGGTGCAGTTTCCTTCCCTTCCCCACTTCTTTTGTCCAGAACACTACAAGTTAGCATGAAACCCACTGGAAAAATAGGGCAGGGCAAGGGCAAGAGTGGGGTGGGGAGAGATTAACAACCAATAGTATTGTCAATACAATGGGGGGATATGGATATGCAGTGTTAGGGGGGATGGGAGAACAATTGTGGCTCTCAATCAAGCATGGCTTCAGCTACAACCCAAGCCCAAATTGTGAGCTACTCCCCACATTCTTCTTAATTCAAAGGTGGTGAACAACATCTGTTTCTTGACATTTAGATATCATAACATTATGCATAATTGCACAGTCCCTACAATCCCAATCACATGGTGATGTGTCATTCTATGTTTGTGGATGGATCATACAGTGACCTGTTTGGTGTTGGGGAGAGATGAGGACTGGATATGTTCTTCTGCTACCCACAGTGATTAGAAATTTTCTTTCAAGACAAAAATACTTGATCTGCATCAATAAGGATAGTTTTTATTTTCATTTTCATAGGGCTGACCATATTAATGAACCTTATTAGTGGTTATTAACATTGATGTTATTGTTGTTGTACAGAGCAAAGCATCAATGACAGGATCATGAAAAGGAAGGAAGCAAGCTCTGTCTTTCTCTCCTTCTCTGACTCCTGGTGGTGTGATGAGACAGCACCACCTTGTGATGTAAACTTGTGGCTCCTCATGATATTTATTTTCTTCATTTGTGTGCTGCACCATTCTGACACCTGATTCAGTACATGTTCACATCCATATTACTATTTATGGATTCTAGTGTGGCCCTCCAATATTAACCCACTAAATTGCCACTGCTTGGGCTCCAACCTCATCACTTGTAAAAAGGAGAAGAAGAAGAAGACAGGTGGCTGGCCTGGGCAGGATTGGTGTCCCATGTCATCCATGTACCTTAGTGGAACAAATCATGAGACCATGTTTCTTTGCCCACCTCAAACTACACAAAGATCTAATACTTTTAAACTTAAGAAATTACGATTGGGTAGTGAAAAAATAATAATCTGTTTTTAGTTAGTAAAGTTAATTCAAACAGTGCTAATGAGATATATCAAACAAGGTAGAAAGGGTTATATCTATATCTATATATATATATATATACTAAAAACAAGGACGTGTGCTATCTGTTAATGCTTTGAAAGATAATAAATATTGTCATGGGATGAAAAAAATAAAATAAAATAAAATAAAATCTTCTCTGGAGCTGTACTTCTCAGTAGTTCACAAAATATGAACCAAAAAAGCAATGTATTGCATCCTCCATCTACAGCTTGGGAGATGCAGGTTAAAGTCTCAATGATGTCTTTAATTAGTTGAAATCATGTTAGAGCTGAAATTATCAATGGTTCTAGCTAAAAAGACATCTGTTACATGCATGAAATCTTGAAATTTCAAAACATTGAAATAAATAAATATCATGAAACAAATGATTACTTGTTTGTTACCAGACTCATCAAATGCACAACTGAGAATCATAACAGGGATATATTTTTGGGATGTTTTCCTCATTATCAACAACTACACAGTTCATTTTGACTTCCCCCTAAAGGCTTTCTACAAGTTGAAACCAACTGTTGCTAGCACTCCTTTAAGATCTCCTCATACAGACACGTATGTGATGGAGGTTATGGAAAGAGGGAGTCATAGAGATTTATTGGTTCAATACATTTAGCTTCACTTTGCTTCTTCTATGATGTTTTCATACATGCTAATGGTAAATAGATAGTGATGGTGATTGAACATTTGAGTATTCAGCTTCTACAAATTCTTTGCTTGGGTAGGGAGAGTTCCGCAGCCTAGTATAGACAAGTCCAAACACACTGTGACAATTTGTGAACTAAAGATGGATTTTTGTGGTTTCTTCCCACATGAGAGGCACGTTGGTATCAATAAACATTGCGTCTCCAAATATGAAGTTTCCTCATAAATGCACCCACAGCTTGCACCAATATTGGAATAAGCATGTCTCACTTTGGTTTAGCCAACTACCAAGGTATTCAAGGTAGGCCCCAATGTAACAAATTTAGAAACATGATGTACAATTGCTAACATTGTTTAGAGGGAGTGGCCAATGATGGATCCCTTTTGCACACATGTCAATTAGGACATAATTACCAATATCAATTGGAGTATATAATATATTACACAGCAAAGGAACAGGAACAGTCCACATAAGTGACTCATGGTTAGGTACCAATTTCCACCCAAACCCCAAATCCTCCTCCTTCTTCTACTTCTCATAGTTAACAATAATCATAATAATCATAACTATACTGTAAATTTGATGAAGATTGGCTCATAATAACTGTGAAACATCGCATGTGATATTGGTAGTAACCAACAACAAAAATAGGGTTTTTCTTAACATACTACACAAATCAGAAGTATATGACTAAACATGGCACAGGAAAAGTGAGGCTAATTTGGGAACCAACCACCATGTGTTACACATTTTGTGAACTTCCCCTTGCCCCCCTACTCCTAAATTAATACCATATTATTGCACAGTGTGTGAGCTTCCTCTTGTCCCCACTTTTAACTTAATACCATATAGTTGCAAAATAATATCACTCTCTTTTCAATTACTACTAATGTTTCCCTCCTTATTTTGGTTTAACATTGCAATGGCAACTGCATGTTTCTTGTTTTTTTTTTCTTCTAAAACAATATTTATGATTTTTATTGACTTTAAATATGGTGTTTTAAACAATCTACTCTTTCATTTTGAATATTGTTTGATACTTTTACCAAAAAACTTGCTTTGTGAGTAAAAACTGTTTTATTGGATTTAAGAGTCTTTTAAGACCAGAGAATTTTAATCAATTTTTACTCCTGTTCAACTTTACAATCGATTCTTTGTAACACTATTCTGTGTGTGTGTGGGTATATATATATATATATATATATATATATACACACACAGACTAGTATAATTTTAATTTTTAATTTAGCATTATTCCCCTCAATTTTCAACAATCATAGAAAATTTTACTTCACTAATATCTTGGTCAACATATTGCTTTAGACATCTATTAAAATAGATTGCAGAAAAAATGTGTGTAAATATAATAAAATATTATTTGTTTGTCCTATTAATAAGCAACTAAATGTTTGTAATTTAAATTATGAAAAATCAAAGCCTTTTTTGAGGAATGATTTTGAGTGACATCTATTGTTGTATTTTGGTCACAATATTAAATAACTAGATATCAAATAATATTTTGAATTTTTTTAAAATAAATTTATTGCCTAAAATAAAAATAGTCGTTTTCTTCTAACACTTTGGATTAAGCATATAAAATTACTAAATATGTAATTAAACGTACTATTAAAGCCCATTTAAGTTTTATTAACTAGAACAAAAGTTTCTTAAATTTGGAACTTTATATTATTACTTAAATACATTCTTGATCTTCTTCCATAGCTAATGTACTTCTTGTTTTAGTGAAATACACTCATTTTATTTTATTTTATTTTATTCTAGATCCATACTCTTAATAGCATTATCTTCACATACTACATTCAATTTATCAATGTGGAAAATTAATCAAACACTAAATCTAACCACTACCCCTAATATAGTTTTATGTGATAGTAAGGTGAACTCAATCTAGGACCTCAAATATAAATAATTTTAAAGACATACACAAGAGAATAGTTGAAAGCATTTCAATTTACTACATATGTACTATTTTTTATTTAAAAAGTATATATATATATATATATATATAATCAACATCAGTTATGTAAGTATGTATTATTATTTTAGACAAGAAAAAATATATAATATTACAATTTGGTGGCCCCAATACAAAACATAGTCAAAACAAAGTAATTGTGGGCATAGGCAAAATCACTATCCCTCTAAAATTAACATACAAAGCTCTAATGGTATTAAGATAGGAACGAGGCTTTCTCTCCATATATTTATATACGGCAAGTTCAACATTCTCCAAGACTTACGAAACTAACTTGATTGTGAGATATCTCATGTATGCAGTGAATGCAATTTTCCACAAAGCAGGCTCAGAAACCATCACCACCCAGTTACTGAAATGGGTTCATCTCCATGTGTGAACTGATTTTGATTTTGTTGTGACAGTGATTTCCTTGCAGGACAACAAAATGGAGCAAGAAAAGCAAAAGCAAAGCAAAGCAGCGAGGAGTGCTCCAAAGAAAGCAAGTAGACAGGAAGGAATGCACACATGGGGGAGGGTCTGGGGGGTTTGGTGAGATGAAAGTAGAATTGCATGCAAAGCGGCGAGCAAGCAAGCAAAGGGAGACAAGAAAGGTCAACACCATTCTTAATGAAGAACAGCATTAATGGGGGGGGGGGGTGTGAATCACTATCATCATCGACGGCGTTCCTGCCTATCACCATGTGTATGTGTGTGTGTAAGTGTGTGTGTGTAAGTGTGTGTGTGCCACGATACTGGTAAAGAGGATCGTAGCAGACCCTTCATAAAGATCCATCTCCGTGGCTTCCAGATCATGGCCTTGTAGTGTCTGCACCTGCATATTGTGCAACTCTTGCAACTGAATGCCCCTTTTCTGTGTGAGCGCTTGTCAATGCCCCCTGGATTGGTTCGCATTGACTCCCATTCAATTCCGGGGCAGCTTCATGCATAATAAACAATGCAACAGGGATTTTAGAAGGGACTGGAGCCTGGGCTTCCCGCTGTGACTTCCTCCCTCTCTCTCTCACGTTCTTTCTCAGCGACACAATTCTGAACTGTTTTCGTTGAGTGCTTTGATAAGAAATTATAAAAAAATATAAAAAATTGAAGAAATGATGTCCGTCTTTGCACCCAAATTTAACTCACTTTGTCATCCGGATTTGATGGCCACTGGGACGAATGCCCTTCTGTCGGCACAGTAGAAAAATTAACGGAAGGGAGGCGCTAACAATAGCCTGATTTGCAGCCCGTCCATCCTTGACTTACTATAAGGAGCTTCAGTATGTGCTCAAGGAACCATCTGGAAATATCGATTGCCTGCAAAAATCCTAGGTGTCGACACAACACCAATGTTGCAGCTTCAGCAAAGGGGGGTTACAATGTGGCGCCGAAGCATGAGTAAAATAGTGGAAGTCTGAGGGGGAGGGCCAGGTTCTCGGCAGCAATATCTGTCAAATGGTCATTCTCATTCTGTGCATGTGTGTGGCGTTTCCTACAGTGACACGCCTCTTCCGCGTTCCGGCGATGATATTCTGCTTGCAGCGCCAAAAAACGAGTGGGGAGAGAAAATTCTTTGTTCTTCCACTGCAAAGGAGTCTATTTTGGATAATATCGGTGTGAAGTAGAATTGACGCCATTTTTAACCTTGGTACCGAATCGACACGGATTCTACCATTATTTCCTTCGTACAGTGAAGCAAGATTCTTACTAGAAGCTTGCCCGGATCCTTGAGGGAGGTTTGGGTGACGGGTTGAACTGAGCGTTGGCAAGTCTCTGGCCGGATCACCAGGGTTAGTGAATTCGATCCTTCACCTTCAGCTGCTTCGCGACTCGTTGCTTCATTGAGTGCCACTGCAATTCGATGGTAGCGACATGCACAGGTAGTAATATAGGCTTTTTTGGGCGCTGACGCTGGTGATTTCGCCCGAAGCAGCCGCATTCCTAGACTTGCCGCAATGTCGTCCAACCCGAGCATGGCATGCTGCTTGCAGCGAATGTAGACATGGGGCAATAAAGCTGGCATTTAAATTGACGCGGTTGAAAGTGGATTTGAAGGGAAATGTTGGAGGTTCACGTCAAGATTTAATGTCTAAAGAATCCTGGTTATAAATTTCTATCTCCACCACTGCAGCATCCGATAAAAAGGGACTGTTGCAACGCATGTCATTTATCTGAACGGCGCACATCCTCAGCCAAGCATACACGGCTTGATATGGACGCAACGAAGTCCCTTTCCGGGAGCAAAGTTAGCAGAAACCTGATCACCTACCCAACCACGATTTTTTTTTTTTTTTTTTTTTTTTTTTTCCTCTGCTGCACGCGTTGAGCGAGTGCTACGGTGTCCTCTAAAGACATGCAACTCACGCACTCGTTCCAAGACCGCATGCAGGCCAAAAAGGCTGCAGAAAAAGTAGATTGTGTCCGAGGGATGTAGACCTCCGGCCAAGCCCTGGCCATGCGTGCGGAGGCGATGGTTATTATATACGCTCTCAATCCATATTTAGAAAGGCAACTAGAGTGCTTCAGAGAACTGCTAATACTAAGGGTAAAAAATTAAAAACATAATAAGTTGCAACAGGAAGTGGTGGGTCGTAGGAACCCTGAGGAGAGAGGCGACAGAGCCTTCATGGCCAGAGCATCTACAGCCCGCGCCATTGTGGGCATTGTCGTTTCCCACAATAATAAGCAATAATAAATTAACTTCTGTTTACAAGCTAGATTGGCAGGATTTGAGCTCCCAACCCTGCTTAATCAGAGTCAAGGAGAAAACGAGTTCGTACAACACCCTCTCCGGCCTCGCCTTGCCCCCTCTCAGATTTGGGTCTTCCACGAGGCGCACCCTCGTCGGATTCCTTTTCCTTTCTCTGGCCCACATTCCGGATCCTTCAGGATTGTTTCCGAAGAAGCAGTACGGCTGCGATTCACCACCACTCCCCGAACTCAGCTGAAATACCTCACCTTCCAGAATTACCGTTATTACTGATTTTAATTTGAGATGACTTGACGTGAATGGATAATCATCAACTGCAGCATCGCTGCACCAAAAAACAAAACAAAAGAAAAAACAAAACAAAACAAAACAAACAAACAAACAAAAACAAAAACAAATCAAATCAAATCAAACAAACAAGATAGAGAGTGAGAGAGTGAGGGGGAAAGAAAGAAAGTTTTAGAACGGAGATTGCCAATTGCTTTTGATAAGTAACAGCTGCAATCGGAGTGATCGTAAGAAGAGCCTTAAGCATCACGCATTCGCCTGACTTAAAAACATTTGGTAGTACATTTGTAGTTCACGATGACACCTCGTTACTTTGAGCCTCCTCTATAGTTTACAGAAAAATCTGCGAGGTCAAGGTTGAGAATCCATTCCAAAGCAACAGTCAACAAGCATCCCATTCTGAATAGATAATGCGTCAAATCCTTCAATTTCTTGTAACCCACTCATTGTGTCAATGGGCGAGGCTGTAAACCCAATGCTCAAATTTGCAGCGTTCGAATTTTAAAACTTTGTAAACTAGCTCTAAGGTTTAAATGCCCCCACCTGACATCACGCTGGCGTAGTATCTTAATGTCGATCGCTAATCGTACAATGCTATGAATAGATGAGCATTTAATTTCATCTTCTTCATCGTCCTTTATGTTGTGGTAAACACTCCAGTAAGTTGGACCATCTTCAGCACCGATTCTTCCTGTGTTCCAAATTGGTGGGCCGCAACAAAGTAGGGGCTGAGACATCTGTTAGACCATTCAACACTAGAACCTCCTAGTGGATTCAAGTCAACTTCAACACACATCGTACAGGGAGAAAGTATTTTACTTGTTGCGAAGGATATGGGCTTTTTCACCCTTGGCCGACATGATAGGTGAGACCTCCGCTTGAATGTGCACAAGGCATTTATTCTGCGCGACGAGAATTCAAGTTTCCCAACACTTGCAGTTGCGATTCTGGATTAGTGTAAGAACATGCTGCGTCACCTGAAACGGAATATTGAAAATATATATCTATAAGTGTAATTGCTCTCCTTACCTTCAACTCATGAAGACAATTCCTTTCCGCTGAACAGTCATGAAGAGACAGGCAGGAATTTACGTGATGAGCTAATTTCGACGGACAGTAAGCAGAATGCCAATGCAAACCCACTGGCTGTTTGCACAATGCGCATCATTATGCTCCTTCACTGAATTCATTTCAGAAATAACTCGTAAGCAGAATTTGATGGTATATGAAATGCACTTGAGTGACTTGACAATCCAACATATCCTGTACGTGTTGCGTGCCACATGTATTGAGAATCATACTGTTGATAATTCTCAACTCCAGGACTCTGAAGTTTAGGTAGTGGAAGTAAGGATTTCAATGAAAAGGACAAGAAAAGGACCCTACCTTCCAAAAGCCGTACACAATGCTGGGGCTCGTCTGCCAAGTACAACTTCGAAAACACGATAATCACATTTATTAAAACCAACAGCAGAAACCCTACAGCCTATCGTCCCATTCAGATGTTGAGATTTACCGAGAACATTGGTTGAAACTCTACATATGCACCCACTTACTTGCATCTAAAACAAAGAAATAAAATACCTCTGATAAGTTGGATTTCATGAGCTATGGTTCAGAGCTGTGCATGTCCAAGGAAAGTGAAGAAACTAAGTATTGTGATGTAAACAAATAACTTATTTACATGATCTCTTCCGAGAAAGTCCAATGCACGTCATCTTCTGATTCGTCAATGTAAGTCACCAGGACGTCTCAGACAAACAATCACACAGAGGCAATTTGAGTGCGGCAATGAAGAGGCTGCTGTGCGTTACCAACCTCGTGGCCAGAACGATATCAAGTGCGTGGGTCTCAGCATGCCTTCACAAATTTGTAGATATTCTTCGGTCCCATAAAAATTACCATTTATACAAATTATTCACACCATTTGAACTGGTGTCGTTTCCTGCTCTCTTAGTTTTCGATGCCGTACTCACCACAAGAATCTGATATCATATGATCAACAGTAATTCTCTGCAAAAGAGCAAAAGTGTGCATCCCACTGATATTGAGAAATTTTACCAAAACCAATAACTATATATACATGCTTCTCATTGACCATTCATGCTACTTTGAACCCAAGATTCGGCACTGCACATAGGAGGGTAGAAATGTGCTTGATCACCTCGGCCACATCATAAAGTTGAAGTCGGCTAAGCACGTTAACTCTGAACTTCGTGCAGAGAAACGAATTAAATCATTCGTTTCGGGAGAACGCCAGGGCACCTGACAGCAGCAGCCCCGAGTTTGATTCCACTGACATTGATATTTACATATCGCGATGAAAAACCCAATCTCCAAGTTTCAGCGCAAAGAGAACGGCACATTCCTCAGCTGTGAAATCCCTAATCTTGCCTGATCGATGCTAAACCAAAAAAATTAGAACAAATTTAAAAAAACGGCAAGCAAACAAACAGAATGACTGATTACGACACATTCAGATGTGCAATGACGAACTTGAGGAGTGGGACTTGTGAAATTAAGCTATGTTTCAGGTGATGGATCTAAAACAGCAGATCAGTCCAGAATCGAGAAGTTTTAAGAATGATCAGGGTGTCAATTATGATTACGGTCGAGTACAACGCTCCTGGAGATCATGTACTGAGTATTTTAGTCCCTCAACTCAATGCCCTATTGCATGCTCATTCTGCATCAGATGCCACTTTGGTTTTGTGAGTATGTGGTCAAGCTTACGAGTAGCTGTCCGAATGAAACCATTGCAATCCAAGGTGCTGAGGGCTACTTCAGCACGTGCAGTAGCAATTTGAGAAGTCCAAGGATATGAAGCATTAGGATGATTCTCACCTGTATCGCCTTCTTCACCCAAAAGGAGACTTAACACGACCAATACCCTAGCTGTAGCGGAGCCCTAATACTGGGTTTCGTCCTCCTCTCCACATACAGATCCTACCCAAAACATACGTCATTTACTGAAAATTATAAAAATTCAAAAATCAAATAGGCAAACCAGCACCTACCTCTCAATTGTATCAAGCAGCTCTCCACATAGTAACGCTCCGTAACTCAAAATGAATAGTACGAGCCCCTGAGCTTAGATCATGTGCACTGACTGGAGCAAGAGTAATCTGGTAGCCCTAAAACTCTGTGAAATAACTAATTCCAAGATTATGGCATGCCAGCTTGAGCATTCTTTGTCAAGTCACCTATGATTTATCCCATCACGTAAGAAATTAGGATATTTGCTGTCAATCCGAATGATATTGACAACCCAGCTCCGCGACTGTAGAAATTGAGGTTGAGGCAAACAGTGTTGTATTTCATTGTCGTGTATTGTGGCGGTGTCGCTCCACAATCCAACACTCTGTTATTCCGCTTCTCGGAATTCATCATCTATTTCGGATCATATGGGGTGTCAGCGGCACATCGATAATTTATTACTGCCGTGCCGTCCGGTGTAAACTAGTCGAGTTCTATCGTTCGCCAGGAAGAGTCGGGATTGTGAGAGCAGAGCATTTCATCGATTGTGTCGGAAGCTTGTTTCATTGGCTTGCCTTAATGTTCTCTCCTTATTGCAGACTTGGATTCAAGATAGTCTTCCCTGTTTCCGATGTTGGATCGGCACCAACATCTGAGATTGAGTAAAATTTGAGTTTAGATCAAGATTGCAACACCTGCTGTGAGGCATGTCTAGTTCTGAGGGAGACACTAGGGGAGAGTTTGTTCAAGCTGGAAGAAAAGAGTACGTTGAAGCAGATCAATTAGTGGAAGATGTGGGAACCAGCAAACTCTTTTGTGTTTGGGAGCGTGGCCGGAATGATGCCCTTCTGTATAATCTAGCCTCTTCCTTTTTTTTCAACGCACTAATTTTGAAATATGCGTCGCTATGCTTCCAACTGCAGATGCGTATGTTTAGTTCTCTGATGGCAACCTCACATCATGAGAACTTGCTCCTGAGAGAGGGTTTGGATTCGCAATCCAAGCGGCATGCTCATCTTTTTTAATCCACTTTTTGAGAAACCATGGACATGTCGATAATATTTAGAAGTTTACAAGATAGAGAATTTCACAAGCATCTCATTCGGCTTGATCGATAGTCGTCCCAGTAACTTCAGTCCTTTAAGGTTTGAAGGCTGCACAATTGCGGATCAAATTTTGATACAACTTTAGAATTAGGTGAATTTAACTAGACATGCTTGGCGGAGATTAGGTTTCGCGTCAATACTTGGATCTTGCAATTCGCACTCATGAAGTCTATGCCCAGCAAATCTCACTAGTGAAGCACCAACTTTGCATCGGTTGGTTTCGCCACCAGTTCTGTTTGAGGACTTCGTCACATCTATTCATGTGCATTTTTTCGTTCAATCTTGTCAATACTAAGTTAGAGAAGCTGAAGCCCTTGCCTGGTGGTTCCATGCCTACCTCTAACTTATTCGATTGTTCACGGAAGGTACCCATTGAAGCAGTGAATGCAAGTTAGCTGGTTGTTTCACGCCTCAGCACTTCTAGCGTGAGATCTCGTGATATAACTTATGGAACTGGAACCTAAAAGTCTATTATCAAGTAGAAACGTAGTTCGAAAGTTGAGTTTGCAAATCCATGGATTCGTAAATCTTGGCCAGAAGCTCTTTATTGAGTGGACTGACTAACTGTTGTACTCCTTTTTGTATTGGTGAAAAGAGTGCCATAACGTAGAGTTTTGTTCGATTGCATTAACTCGGGTGTTGTTGCCAGTGATACGCTGTCATCAGGTGCTGAGACACGAGGGTGGTGCAACTTTTCTGCAGGTGCCTCCTCAAGAACTTCATTTTTACACATGCTTTTCTTCTGAGGCTTTGAGACAGATAATGGTCAATGGCGAGGTTTTATCTGCAAAGTTGAACAGGTGCATGTAAGATCCCTTTTGGTGCACCATCTTTCAAATATTGATATTAACCTCATCACTGAGGCAGTTCGACATACAACACGCGCTGCGCTTCACTTGCCATGATCGTCCTTACCTTCGTGGCGCATTTACAACTATCTGCAGAAATATTTGATCCATGACACGTTTTCTGCAGTTCACCATGCCACGCACACACCAGAGGTTCAACCACCAAATGGACCTGCTTTCACAGCATTTTGACATCACCCACGATGTGCTGATTGCCAACGTCTACAATACCGCTTTAAAGCAACAAGCAACGACGAGCAAAGAAAACTCTAATTTAAGAATTGTTAGCCATGCAAAGAAACTATGGGGGCATCCGGAAGAGTGATATTAGATCGAAAGAATGTGGAGGGTTCGAATGTGTTACACTCCACCCACTTGCAGGAGAACAGGGAGATCCTCGAGAAGCTGAAGAGAGGGCAGGGTTTCTCTCTCTGAAACTCGACAATTTGAGGCTGCAAGGATAAATTGCTGAACAGGCAGTAATCTTTGCAGCCGAATGCACATTCAGCGCATGCGGTGTCCCGCCTTCGCCATCCAAGTGCGTGGTGAAGGTGATGAAGGAGGGCATTTACCTGCAGTCTCTCAAGCTGCAGTGGTCACCCAAGCTGCTCTGTAAGTTGTCCAGGGGTGCCAAGGCATGCTGTGCCGGGAAAGCATTGATCATGACGGACGACCCTGTGCAGGGGAATAGAACTTCTCCCATCATTAACGGCTCTTCCCTCATGAACGACATTCGTGTTGGAAAAGTTCTGTGGTGACTTGTGAGGTTTTATAGATCTTGGAATGTAGAAAGGCCACCGCGGGCCTCCGGTTGAGAATTACGTTGCATTGAAAATCATGGGACAAATTTCCAGTCGAATCTACGCATTTTACAGGAGAGAAAATATGCACAGGAATCTCAAGCGTCCAATCTGCTCATTCAGCAGTTCTCTTTCAGAAACTAAGACGAGTACCCCAATTGCTACATAGCGGACCACGCGTGTTCGATTGAGGTGGCAGGGACTAGATTCCGAATAGTGCCCGAAGTGCTGCGGGTTCTCAAGAATCTGAGAGGCCCTGCTGAGGCCTGCACACTGAAGGACATGACCTGGTAGAAGATATTTGGCAAAAGTGAATCTGATGGATGAGTAAGATTTTCGGCATATAACAACTTGAATCTGAAAACTCGTCATTTTCTGAGTGAAAATTGAGATGCCCTTTGAGACTCCAACTGCGTCCTTACGCAACATCTTTCTGGAAAAAGCTCATTGTAGAGTACATGTTTGCTGGTATCACAGGAAGAGATTCGTCGCGCTATAAAATTACAATTAGAGTTCTATAATACGGTCTCAACCGTTAATACTGATGTTAGATTCTGAAGTTGCCCGGAGGATTTTATACAATGGGTACCCTCCTCATACTTCAGTAAATGGTAGTTCCCCGTGGATTTTTTCTTCTGGACACAAGAATCTTACTGTCTTACGTGGCCTGAAATTGGAATTCTATTGCAGCGAAGGCCGCCCTAAAACATGGCGTACAGCTCACCGTATTGACGTGTTACAAACCGAGCAGTTACTTGAAGCGGGATGGTCTGCCCACATCGTGTATCCAATCGTAAACAATTGACACGAGATAGAGGATAAGAGAGTGCTTTTAAATCGTTCGCTTGTCCACGTCTACCAGAGACGTTTCAACATTTAGCTTTACCAATGACATCCATGATAAATATTTCTTGGAGAGGTAAGAACTGCTTAGAAAATAATTTAGAAAAGAGAATTACAACATCGTTTCAAAAGTACAAGCACTATGAACATCCAATGTTTGTGCTTAGTAACAAAGCTAGAGAATAGAATAAGTTTCCGAGGACAAAATCATATAATTGCTATACACCACCCCTGAAATGGACACTGATTGCCACCGACAGGGAGGAAAAATAAATCCCCATGAATGCAGCTCACGCAACTGTCTCCACAGCAATTTTGCGGGAGAGTCGCAACTCATCGAAGAAGTGAGGCTCAGCCCAGATCTCAGGAATGGACTCCCTCACATTATGAATGCTAGATACGTGGTGGTCAGCTCCATCACACGCGATCGGACTTCCAACCAAGACCGTGTGAAGGCCCACTCTCTTACCTCCAAAGATGTTTCTTGCACTGTCATCGAAGTAGAGTGTTTTGGCAGGATTGATTCCCAGAAGCTGAACTGCCTCCCCCATGCATGCAATTGATGGTTTACACACAATTGGAACGCTCACATCAAGTTTCACGTCTTGCTCTCCTGCCTCGCGTCTCTCTTTGGCAATGGCGCAGTGTGTATTGAAGGTCTCGAAGCAAAGTATGCCTTCAAACATGTCTTCCACACCAAGCTTCTTCAATACTACGGCGGCGTGGATCTTATCCGCGTTTGTGAAGATGTACTTGGGTTGAGGCATGCTTTGCAGGAGATTGCGCAAGATGGGATCGGGTCTGAGGAGGTGATAAGGTAGACGACCATGCACATACCTGGAAAATACAACGGCTTCATAAGCTCATAAACAGGTACCATACTCATGTCAACTGAACTTCTAATCAGACGCCATTGTCCTCAATCTATCAATTTCAAGTCATTTAAAGGTCAATTTTTCCGAACATATACCATCATAAAATAAAGTTTCACCATTCATTCGACCAGAGATCGTTCAACCAAAAAACCGACATACGGTTTTGAACAAGCAACACCAGCTACAACAATCAATAGTCATTAACTCTGATTTGAGCACTGGCAACGGATCATTCACAGAATTACCAGCATACTGTCGGGACTTAGAAAGATGCCAAGATTAGATGCCGAAATGATGAAAAGAACACAATCGAGGATTCAGAGAAGGCAAGTACTTGTGGAAGTCATCATGGTCGAAGTAATAGCCCTCGGCCCAGAGTCCGGCCATGGTAGTGCCGTAGCTTTTGTAAAGCGTGGTGCAAATGTCGGGCACTTTAGCAGGATCAATGCCCATTTTCTCCACCATGTATGACTCGATGTTCAATCGACATGCGTGCGCCAAACCGCTGCTGAGGGGATACAATGTGTCATCCAGATCAAAAACAAGCGTTTCAAAGCGCGGTGCAGATGGCGTTTCCTCCTGAACTCCAACCATGTCCTTGTTTGCCACCGCCATTGCTCAATAGATCACCACCCAAAAATTCACACCGGAACTCTCGCAACTTATTCTCTTATTGCGTTCTTTCAAACTGCGCCCTGCACGAGAGAGTGGATCCTTCAGTATCTCAAGTAGAGCTATTGAAGACACACACAGACAACCTGTAAGGAAAAACTCGTCTTCCCTATCACAAGTTCTACCTACACTGAAAGCCGTCCCATTGAAAGACATTCCGTAGGTACATATATACTGAAATATTGTTGTAGAACTGAATATTGAATCACCCAAAAACCTAGGAACGATTAACTGGAGGCTCACAGCAATGGGTAGCTCAAGTCAAACGTGGCTATTCCTTCAACCAACAAGCGTGAGTGCGAGGTTTGTCCATCAGCAAATCCAAATGTCGAAAACTTAGCACAATGATTAATCCGGGCAAGAACAACAGTCTAACAAGATATAAAATTCCACAGGCGTGCGACGCGGAAGCCGATGAAACATCGGTGCGCAAAACAGGGACATTGTGAATCCTATCGAAGCAAGCTCGACCCACCGACCTTATTGAGCTCGATGCAGATTAGAATTTCTCTCTCGTTCTCTTCAGTCCCAGAAAAATACCCACTAAAACAAGCAAGATCCAAGTTCTTCTTAAACCGTTAAACAGGAGCAACCATGAAAAGCGAGGGGAAATGGAGTGGCCGCCGCAGACTTATATACTCGACGCTATACGACCCAGTCAGACCCAAAACGAGCAAGTCGCGCACCCTGTCTGACTGCCACGCCCACGTTTCTTCCAAAGTACGACGACAAGAACGACCTAGTCGCAACGAGTAACCACAGCATGAACAAACCAAGTAAAAAGACTAGAGAAGATCACGTCATCTGCACGAGACTTGGTTTACAACCCAGAATGTGAGGGAGGAAAGGATGTGGGTAAATTACGAGCTTTTCAAACCAACGCGATGCCTGGAAAAAAAATCTGATAGCTTCGAAGGAAGAACACAGGAAAACTTCCGACAAAACAGACCCTGCAGAGAGTGAATAACGGAGATGGGAGTGACGAACTGACAACGCGGTTTGACACGGCGATGCAGCCGCTAAGTTATGCAGATCAGAGAGCGGCAAAACGAGAGCTGCAAATTGGGGAAACGAAAAGGCTGTTGGGGCGTGATCTGCGGCACCCGAGGGGAGACGAGGCGGATGACAAACGCTTCATGCGCTGGATGCGGAGCCTGACCGTACGTGGATAGGCTGCATTGGGCCAGAGCCCCAAAGGATCCTTGGAACTCGGAAAAAATAATGCGAGGTCTAGAATCAGACAACAGGAAACTGGTACACAGGACAGTTCATGTCGCAAGTTTGCCTGATTTCATGTGATACTTCCTTAGCTCCGCGTATTTCTGGAATCATTCTTCAAGTAAATGCCGTGGTGGTCTTCCCTCGGTTCCTTCTAATTGCACTGATATTAGCCCACACTTTTTCTCTTTCGTTGTTGTCGAATCTCGCCGTCCATGCAGCTTTTGGTTGCGATTTACACCATGCAGAAATAGTTTTTTTGAGCCGGCCCAGAGAAATGGGGTGGCACTTCTGGGAATTAGTTCCTCACGTTCTGCTAATGGTGCACAATAAACTAACTTCAACGAACTGAATTTGGACGAGTGACATTCTTTGAAAACACGCTAAGAGCCACCCCTCATGCTGCAGAAAAGAACAAAAGATGAAAAAGAATAAAAAGAAAAAGGTAAATAAGAGATAACTTTCCTAGGACATGTAGCCGTAGTTCAGGAAGAACATGCTGAACATGTGATAATCTGTGAGAGGCATGAAAAGAGCTATATTTGATGTGTGGACACAAGTTTTCTTCCGTGCTCCCATTGACAGGTCATAAAAGGCGTATTAATAGACTTGGTCACGGTATTATACTCATCCATCAAATTCACTCTATCATTCCGATTCCGCCGAACAGTATCCTTTGCAATCCTTCTGGAGATCCAACTCCTCCTGGTGGCCAGATCTGTCATTGTATTTTTGTTCAAACATGCATTAGCAGAAAATTTTCCTTTCTTTTTCGAGGTAGACTGTCTAAACAGGAACGCTGGTAGTCGTTTGTTCCTAGTCTGGTGACGGATAGTTTATTTTTGATGAATCGGCCGATGTATAAACACATCTTCAATTCGGTAGAAAAACGTGAACTACCATTAGCCATTTTCTCTCGAAATGGAACAAGTGATGCAGAAGACGATGCAGTGCCATTTGAAAGGCTGCGGTTATCGAATAACAACTGCATGGTTACATTCTAGATGCGCGATAGGTTTTGGTTGATGAATATGTTCTTTATAATAACCAACTCTAAAAGCACTAGCTTGTCAGGTATTTCGCTGTTAACAATGTCTCATTCTTACCTCTGGAATTGAGGTAAAGAAGTTTACTTAAGGAAACATGCATGCATTTATTCATTTTGAAAAGCAACGATTTCATGCAGATTATAATGACAAAAAGTAGTGATCTGATTGCAAACGTCTACTGCTTGACTGTTGAAAATGTCATTGCATCATCCTTTATCGAAACAGGGCCGAATTTACAGCAAATTTCGACAAATAAACTAGATCCTCTCTATGAATTGTAAAACCAAGTCGGAGCCACGCAGGAAGGTAGTGAAAGTTGCACAAGCGTTTCACTAGCATTGAGTTGGTCTCTCTGTTGCAAATAAAGAATGGAATTGGTACAGAATTAACACTCTGGGATGCATGCGGTACAAGCCAATGACGACCTAAGCTGAAAGCGAGGTAAGGTGGTAGCTGGCTAACAGGCTCTATAGATAATAGTCTCCTTGCTTGGATGATGCCTTCAAATCCTTCAACTTCTTCAGAATCTGTCCATAGTACTCCTGCAGATAAAGTTCCAAAGTGGTGGTTTCTTTGGGATCTGCTCCTAACATTGCGTAGGTTTCCGTCATTGGTGCTGAAAATACAGTGTCGCTCGTGAGTACCTGCATTGCACATCTTAGAACTCCATTCCAGTCGAGAGTTCAGCTATGTATAGCAATTCCATGGTTACACACACACACATCTGAGGTCTGAACTTATCAACACTCGGACTCAATTCAGGGTCACATCATATGGTGCTCACCTCAGAGAAAGCCAATCGGTCGGCAACGTCGGTTGTCCACTGAAAGAGCCGAGTCAACAAACGTGTCGTCTTCAGTACACCCACGGGGACAGTCGTCACCTTAGCGTCCTGCCCAGCTAACCGCTCGCACAAGCTGATAACCTGCACACTCAAAGGAAAGATGTATTTAGATACAAGTTGTCACTTCGAAATAGTCTTTTGGTTTATTTAAGAGGTGGACACCATCAATGTAAGAACGGTTTCTACTCAGGTAAACTACATGGTGTGTACTTGGACAATAACGTAAATGTTACAGCACAATTAATGTGACGTATGTGAAAATATTTCGTCAGGAGTTTTGTGAACCTCCATCTCAAACCTAAGTTCCAGGATGATACAGCAGTAAAAGAAACTAATTGGGAAGGGAAAAAAATCTTAAGAAATAAATATACTCCTCTCGAGAGCTACAAGGCAAGATTTACCCTCACTGGAGATTGAAAAAACAAAAAAAAAAACAAAAAAAAATCATATTGGTAGTGAGTTGATGCTAGAACAGCTGTACAAGGTAAGTGTAATTACAATAAAGAGTGTGAGATTCAAAAATTACTAGAGGGACTGGGGCTTGGGAAGGATGTTACGGCCAGTACCTCTTGGGTAGTCCAAGCACGGGGGCCAGCCAAAGTCATCGTCTCCCTCTCCGCTTTCTCGTTTCGGAGGGCTGCCATAGTTAGTCGCGCAACATCCTGAGGAAAAATGTATTCACTATATCAGCATTAAGACATAAATGATTACATGGTCAAGGGATCACTGATACAAGGCATCACACCGAATGATTGTTTGTAAAACAGACATGATCAACAGAAACGATCAAATTTTCCGTTCAATGAAGAAGAGACGTAAGCACCTGGGTGTCCATGTAAGCGATTCTGGTGGGAGCATCAGTTCCCCACACTGACTTGTCTTCTAGAACTGGAACAGCATACTGTCCTATCAAACCCTGCACAAATTTAAGAGCCCAACAGAGAGATTCATACTTCTTTCCAAGACACAATGACCACATCCATAGAAAACAACTCCCGAGCAGTCAAGGCAATGAAATCATGCTCTACTCGAACCTGCATGAACCCGCATAGTCGGATGATGGTGTAATTCAATCCCGAGTCCGCAATATATTTCTCCGTGCACCTTTTGATTTCCATCAGTGGGACCTCCGGGTGGTTCTCGCAGTTGTGGATCGAGTAGAAAACGAAACGCTGGATGCCCATTGCTTGCGCACATTGAATCAAAGCAACCTTTCCGTCCCAATCAACCTACACCTCCATTACCATTTCCACGCAGGTCACAATCGGTAATTTGAAAACACGTCTGGTAGAACTCGACTTCAAGAGCCATCTCGAAGTTATTTTTCACATTCTTTTGAATTATTGGTTCGGCTACTTTCCCGATTCGATTCCTAGGAGTCAAAATTCTTAGCCTCAAACAACGGATTTAGATGTAATTAACCAAAAGCTCCTCAAGCTCAACATATGCAATAGACAGACAAAGCAACTACTCACTGTTCTGATAGGTTCTTCCGGCCGCCCTGTTGCGCAATCAATCACCGTGTGGATTCCGACAAGTGCGGCTGGCAATGTCTCAGGTTTGCTCAAATCGCCCTAAGTACAGTAGAAAGCAACAAACGTCAGATATCATCCGCTCCCCGTACGTATGGACAGCAAAGCAGTCTGCTCTCAGTTCGGGATGCTCATCGTGATCTTGGACTCATCCCTTTCCTCACGTACAAGTATATGCACACTGTCAAATAGACGCAGAGAGTTACCCGATCTTACATTGACGACTGTGGCCCCCCAATCACGAAGAAAATCGGCGGGAGCTGGGCGAGGCCGGACGAGGCACCGTACATCATAACCTTCGTCAAGAGCCCGCCTCACGACCTGTCTGCCCAAGGTTCCCGTTGCACCAATTACGAGGATGCTGGTGGAGCGGACCGGGGTACCCGACGCCATGGCTGCTTGTTGCGCTGCGGAATTTGCCATAGCAACAACCGCCTTGCGGCCTCCAGTGTTGACTGAGCTGGTGGCAAATGCGGGACGCTTCAAAGCCTCTCTCTGGGAGGCACAGTCACCTACTACCGAGGAGAGAGGAAGATCTCTAACATTCTTAAGGCCAGAGAACGATCCAACACCACCGACGGGCCTTCTGGATGTGCCCTCCACGTCACGGCAGGAGCAGGATTGCACCAGAGCAGACGCCTGGCCGAGGCGACTCGCTTGCGCAATTGACGTCGCCATTCTTCCCTATCCGTCGACTCACAATCCCTGCTTCCAGAATCGGAACATTGAATGAGGGTTGCTACTCCCACTGACACAAATCTCAGCATACCCCGGCTAACTCCAAAAAAAAAAACAGATACACCCCATGTCAAGTCTACTCCGAACCCTTCCAATTCGACATACCAGACGGCCCAGACACAACATCGTCCTCAGAAAGCGCAGCAGGATTTACGATAAAAACTGGTCTACCGTGCCTAACAGCAATAATTCGGGGGAAGTGCAATGCAGAGGCAGTATCCTAATAAGATACAGACATGCTCGGAACCAAAACTCAAAGAATTCAAAACCACAGAAATGAAAAGGAAATGAGTGAAGAGCAAGAGGCACAGAAGCAGAGCAAAGGAAAGAGGGAAGAGAAAGGGGAGAGAGAGAGAGAGAGAGAGAGAAGGGTGAGGGAGCAGTACCTGGCAGAAAGGGAGAGAGAGAGGAAGAGAATGGAAAGTGCAGAGGAGCGGCAGTGTGTGTGCAACAGAGAGAGACAGAGAGACAGAGGTAGCGGAGGAGGAGGAGGAGTTGCAAGAGAGGGGAAGAAGGTAGGGAAAGGGGAAGGGGGGGGGAGTTGCAAGGCCACCGCAGCTCCACATTCGCGCAGGTGAAGCTGAGCCATTGCCTTTTGTGAGGCAGCAGCAGCACTCACGCACAATTGGGTCATCTTCATCATCTTCATCTTCACCATCCCTGCTTGCTTTGCGATGCCAACACGCCCCCCCTTCGCCTTCCGGCCCTGCTCTAAGAAGATAAGCCCCCCCCCCTTAACGCCGTGTCTGGCCCCATCACCGTGCCCGTCCTCTCTCTCCCCTCCCCTTCCTCCTCCTCATCTATCTTATTTTCAATCATCCGTGGATGATTCTCCTTCCTCCGTCTTTCTCCTTCCCGCGTCCACGTGTATGTGTGCAAGGTCTCTTCAAACTCACCATTCGTTCATACTAGTTAGTAGTCGTCAGGATTAGTACAAGATTATAATATTTAAACGTCTTTTCACAAACCAAAGGTCACAACACTTGTGAGAGGATACGCTTCTTGGGTTCCCCAGATATATCCCATGTTATATTTGTGCTCCTTCTCCCATGTTTGTTTTCTTATTAGCATCATCATCATTATTTCAATTTTTGTCACTATTATGTATCTTCTTGAGTTTATTTGATTGTCTCGTTTATTTCCTTCATTGGTGCATTCTTTTTGCCAATTTTCCCCTGTTTTTCTGGGTATGATTTTAAAATGCACGCACACGTGTACTTATTGTACAACCTGCACTGAACAAAGTTTGAAAAATATATATGAACAAAACATAGAATCAAGATTAGTCTTCAATTTTATGCAAAAAGGTACTATAATAATTTTTTGAATGCATTAGAAAATAACTTTTCTTGTAAAAATACAACTGTGTACATGCTTTTTGAAGATCATTTATGTATAGGTCGAAAACATTGCAAGTTTTATTTTTAAATTGCATCAGGATGATTATTTATATTTTAAGTAATTTTGAAAAATATCAAAGACCACATTCATATTTTATAGACAAACAAAATATAACTTTGAGAATTTAACTTTTATGACCTCTCACTGAAATTTCTTAGAGTTTTTCTTATGTATAATTCTGTTATTGAAAATATATATATATATATATATATATATATATTAAATTAGGGTTTTCTAAACATCAAATTAGCGTTTTTTACTACGAGATGATTATTGAAAGTTTTAAACTACTTGCATTAATAGGAGGAAGCACAGTGGTTATTTTGAACAGAGGATTGAAAACAACCTAAAATTATTTTAGGTTGTAAGGGCAACATCATCTATCTGAGCGTCATAACTTAATATCATGAATTTCAATTTTTTTTTATATATTTTTCTACAATCATTACATTTAATGTTAATGCATCCAATTTACCTGATATTTTTGAAGACCAATCTCCTAGCCAATAATCATGTAATGAATAAATAATCCAATCAATACTTCGAAATCTAATTAAAATCACATCTCCAAGTAATAACTTTTTTGGATAACTCCAAGAAAGCTAAAATAATCATCACACTAATTAATGCAGCAATTTTTATTTTTTTTAAAACCCAAGTTCCTAAGAATGCTTTAAATAACTTTAAAGCATCAATAATAACGAAATAGTTGAAGGTATGAGGTAAAAGGTATTACAACCTCTGCTATGGAGAAAGATTACCGAGGAGGGCCCACCTGCAATCTCAGAATTAATTGTGAGGTATGAGAAGAAATAACAACAACGATTATAAAAAAAAAGTAAAATAAAATGAAAAAAAGAAGCAAACTGGAACACCTCTTCTCATCTCCGCTAACTTTTACATTTCGAGGCATTCGAAGCCATGGGAGGGAAGCTGAACCAACTGTGACGGAAACGCCGAGAACGACGACGATGGGAGTTTCGTCGGGAGGCGTGATGTCGTAGCTCGAGGGATTTATATATTAACATATTTATTTAGTTGTCGCGTGTGTGTGTGTGGGTACGTGTGTTATCAATCGTGCATGCAGATGATCAGGGGCGCTCGGTGAACTCTCGACGGCGACGAATGTCGTGAGAACTAGTACTGCCCTGCCCGTTGCTGCGTTCACTGCTGCGATGGGGCTGGCGATGGTTGGTGGGAATCGCTCTCCACCGATTTCTTCTTGTGGTTAAGGTGCCATATAGGAAGGCGTCGATGGTTGGAGCGAGGTTGCGTGTGCGAGTGCGGAGAGTCGGTTAGGATCCTTGGGAAGCGTTAAGAGCTTGGAGGCAGATGCGGAGGAGGAGGAGCAGTAGAGGGGCTGGAGCGGTGTAGGAGATTGCGATTCGCTCTTTGGAGGCGAGGATTAGTGAGGTTGGAAGTGAGTGGTGCCGGTGGATCGTACCTTGCTGCCGCGACCATGTACTGGTCAATTAGATGATTCAACTTGTTTGATTATCAAGCAAGAAAGGGGAATAGTACGCGGCTTCTTTTTTGCTTCTCTATGAAACGTCAAGTATTCATTTCCTAGAATGACCATGTTCACAGCGTACACGAATTCAAGGACTCAATGTTACGCTATGGCTTGCTTAACTGCTGATTTTCCCAGTTTAATTACTACTTGTCAACGTTCGAATACGGCTTTCATGATGTGGTTACATTGTGCTTGACAAACGTTTCAGGTACTATCGAGGGGGGAAGCAACCATTTCAAAACTGTGAACGATCATCCAACTTCTATCAATACATAATAACCGTCCCGACATAACAAGCGGATAGATGCATTGCCAATGAAACAAGATATTCTACAACAAATAGGCATGCGTTTTGTCCGACAGACATCCATTCAGTCAGTGCACTAGATAAATAACCCCAGTTCAGCAGGTGTCGCTGTGATTGCTTGTTCTTGTTAGGGCGTGGTGCTATGTCCGTATTTAACCCGTTCCAATCCAATGATAGGGCTGGATATTTGTCGCAACAAGGTAAATAATCTCAAAAGGTCTCTGTGATGCAACCCCTCCGAAAACATTTCAGAGCATGTGCTGAGCATGTTCCAGAGCTTAATTCTCGTGATAAGTGCAATCAAACATCGACTCAACTTGTACAATGACCATGGAATTGTCTTAGTTAGATTTGGTCAGGGATGGCGAAAGCATTCAGTGGAAAGAGAAATGGTCAAACAGCTGTTCCATTCTCTGAAATCTAGTAGATGGATCTGCTCAAAGTCGTTTCAACCCAACCACTAACTACATAGCATCCTTACCTGCACAGCTTTGGAAGGGCTGTTGTTTCCTGCAACCAAAATTCATGGCAACCACTCCCCTCTACAGTGTTGCTCTGCTGCCAAAATGGTCTGAGGAGCCAACTCCTCTAGTGGACATAATATCGTAGGATTCAATCTATTTACAACGGACTTGACAACGCATTATCAATATTCCGGTCCAACCCCAATCTGTTTCTTGTAGTTGGGGTTGGTGATGGGGAAGTCGTCCAGAACCTGACTGGCGAGAGGACCAGGCTGATAGTCCTGACTGGGCTGGTAATCACTGAGGACCGACTCTCTGGGCTGATACTCACGCGGGTGACTCTCCCCACTCCGAAACTCGTTTGGATTCGACGAGTATTGCCGCCGCGGCGATTCCAAACCACGTGACCTGTAATCAAGAGCATCGTAATCTCGGTCTCGGAGGTCCGCTGCTGCTAATTCCTTTGTCACATCCAACAGAACCCGTGGCTCTGCTGGCTTGAACCGGCGTGGGTCGATATCCCCGTAGCCTCGCACAACTGGCTCCAAAGTCACTCCTCCAAGAGTGCCCCTCGGACTTCTGGGAGGAACATGATGTTGAGCGCCGGGACCGCCGCGGAAATCAAATGCGTCAGCTTCACGAGGGTCCAGGGGCTCATAAGGCATTGGCACCCTCGGCACTTCTACAGCTCGAGGGGCACCGCTTGGTCCATAGTCGTTGAAACTCAATTCTCTGTCAAGAACTGGCCTTCCAGGAGATCTCGGAGGACCGCTAAACCCTTCTCCTCGGAGGCTTCGAGGGGCGTTGTAATCCATTGCTTCTCGAGGACTGCGCGGGGCATATTCAGGTGTTCTTAGACCTCGAGGAGGTGCATAATCAACATCTCGTGGTCTACGAGGGCCAAAATCAACATCTCGTGGGCTTCGAGGGCCATAATCACCATCTCGTGGGCTTCGAGGGCCATAATCAGACACGACCCTCAGGTCTCGTGCCATATATCGGTCTGCTATTTCTCGAGGACTTCGTGGCCGAGGATCGCCACGACCGGGGTTAGTTTGAGACACTCTGTGATCAACGGGGACGAAGTTCACCTCCCGTGAGTGCGGAGCAGTGCGGATAGGAACCAACCCCTCCGGAACTCCCACGCGTCGAGGAGGTTCGTCTGGAGGTGGTCCATAAGCTCTTCCATCCCGCATGTCGATCTGCCGCTCAACAATCCGAGGGTCGACGGGACGAATGTGGGGATCCATGCGCTGCATCTCACGAGGACTCGCAGGTCTCATCATTCCGGGATCAACTTGGCGCAGGTCGCTGACGTTACCAGGCCTAACCTCACGTAGCTCGAAGGGTTGCACATCATGGGGATCCATGGGCTTCCCCCGAGGAGAGCCTGGGAGCCCCAGACGAGGAGGGTTCACGGGCCGCAACTCGGGAAGCGCGTCGGGCCTACCATAAGAAGGTGACAAGGGGCGCGCTACATCACGAGGATTGACATACGTTCCATCGCGGGAGTCAATTACTTGCACTCTGCGAGGATCAACTGGCGTACCATCCTTAGCATCGACGGGAATGAATACAACCTCCCGAGGGACCTGTGCGGGATTTTCCCTAGGATCAGCAGGAGGTATCATTTCTCTCTCTGCAAGTGGGTGAAATTCGCGTGCTAGTAGGGGTGGTCTCTCGTCGCCAGGCTCTACTTTTCGCACGGTGCGGGGATCGACTGCCGTTCCATCTTTGGCATCAACGGGGATGAACACCACCTCGCGAGGACCCACATCAAGTGACCCTCTTTCTCGAATTTCAGCATCTTTCATCTCCCTTTGGACTGGGTGGATCTCTCTCGATTCCCCTAGCGGACTTCCATCTCTATGATCCATTGACAATGGTCTCCCCGTCTCCGAAGGTTCCTTGAGGAATAGTGGAGGCGCAACTTCTTCTGTAACGTCTCCATCGATGCGCCAAAACATAGCGTGTCTGTCAAGGTGTCGCCTCATCTTTTTAAGCAATGCATCTGGGTCAGCTGGACCATACACGATGACCTTGCTCTCGCTCTGATCAGTTACCACCTTCAGTACCCCTGATTTACAACCAACGGCCTATCTTCATGAGGCTGTTCAATTTAGCACTAATGCCGCCCAGTGCAGGTCGTCCACTCCATTGAAATATTCTGTAACCAGTCAGACGTTGCTCACGATCAAGAAATAAGAGCTGCTTTTGAGGTACATGAACTTACCTTCCACTTCTTCACATTCTTCCTTAGCTTTTTCCTCGCACTTGGCGCAACACATTTTGACGTTCATGACCGTCGCCTGTGCATTTACAATTTCCCTGATGTGAGCGTTGCAGCAAACTACAGTTAACACATCAACATTAAGGGCCGCGAAAAAAGCAACAATGACTGAGTCTGTCTCAATTTCGGATGGTCCTAGGTCCAGATGGAACGTACCGGGAGTGATTCTCGTCCCATCGGACTTCTACTCCGCTGCACATGGAACACACAAATTATTGTCACCATCGTGAGCAGTAGCAGGATTTCAGCACAAAAAAATCTACCCAATGAAAGCACAACGTTCGACTAGCAATTTTGAACCTACGTACTATCTGCCTCACAACACGTAGCAGAAGTCTGGGGCATACCTCTCGACTGGGCGCCATAGCAGCGTGGAGGATGTATCGGGGCTTGTTGGAAGCACTTCAACAAAATGTGAGATTGACTACAAGTGAGGTCAATAAACGAAATACAAGCTTCCTTCGCCAACAGATTCGTGTTGCACCAACTTTAAGCTCAACAAGCTCAAGCACGAAGTTGGAAAGCATATACACCAGGTGCAGTTTCTGTGCTATCAGTGAAGAGCGATGTCAGCTTTCAGACATAGTGATTTCACAACGTCGTGACACGTAAACTATACTGGAGCGCTGCCAGAAGGTACAAGAGTGCTCACACGAATCGTGACCGAAGCGCATTGACGAACAATTACACAGTATATATCACGCGTCCAACCCCAATAGTTACCGCTGTGTCCCATAATCGTGATCCTATTGAATGACCATGTAATGATAAGCACTCCAGCAGCCATGGCTTGATTACAACATGAATGGGTAGAGTGTACATTCTACTTGGATCATTTAAGAGCGCTCATCAAATAGACGCGGCGGTCGCACCCAAATACCATATTTACAATAACTGTAGCACGTGAGTATTGATTGAACCATAATTGTGCTCCATTGTGCGCTGCTTTTTCATTCACTCTATTCGGTCGGCATTCCTACGTGCTTAGTAGACGTGTAAGCGACGCAACCATGTGTTTTTTTCTGGAAATATGTGTGTCTTCCATCCAATTATCCATTAGCGCCAAAAATACTGACATCGGCAAAAGAACGGTCGGCAGTATTATGTGATTAGAATTGCCTCACTTCCGGTGTTCATGCCGTTAAATGACGTAGCCTCCTACTTTTTCATGCACGCTGAATAATTCTGCTTCGAGACCGCTTTCAGGGTACAAATAGAATAGTTTACAACAATTGAAAAACCACTGTGAACTAGTAGCGAGTTGAAAATACAACATCAACAACAACAAGAACAATTTATCCTCCACCTGCAGCCCTACAAGCAGGCTCAAAATCTCGAAACTGCTGCATCGTTAAAGCAGAGTTGACAGAAAGCGTACTACTGATCTATACTGGTTCGTCACTCATGATGGCTCCCAGGCCGCACACTTGCAAGTGAAACAGAGGAACGAGCACACCCCTATTCCATGACTCAGATTCTGCCGATACGTCCAGACATGCTCACGTGTTGGCACTTTCCTTCACCCAACTTCGAAACGCTCAAATTCAAGCGACGATCTTGTGGTGTGATTAAAAGCGTAAGCATCGTCCCGCAATATTTGTTCTGAAACTAATAGCCGAACTTATGCTCTTGAAGTTTGTTGAGTTAGAAATCATGAACATGCGAACCTCACAAGCAAGATCAAAGTTAATGTCATTCCAGTGGCATACTCAGAGTGTCTAAGAGCAACTGCTGAGCAAAATGAAGCCGACAGGGTAAACCAAATTGAAGGAAATCACGCACAACAGAAAAACTCACAAAAGTAGCAGGCTCCGCTAAACTTCTATGCAACTTGCGTCTGCGATGCATATTACAAACTGAAAATCTGGGCTCTACATTCCACAACTTCTGGCTTCCGCAATTGGCCTCTACTCTTCACCAGGTCACCAGCACCCCACTGCTCTACTCTTCGCGTCATCATTCCATTAAAACAAGCAAACCTCTCCCTCCTGATCGAACATGAATGCACTCCACGCCCGAATCAGCATGCTTCGTTCATTCCCAACACAGCTTAATTCATAATCACCCTCCTACACCACACCATTTACCAGAAAGAAACGGTTTGTTCGCGTCTATTTGTGGTTCGCGGCTATGTGCGTCAAAATCGAAGCTTGCGTCGCAGAGCAGATCAATTCCCCTTACAACCACGATCAATCACTCCGGAAGACGATTACTACAAAGTTAATCAAAAAAACCTCGAGGGAATCCATCTCATTCACTTACTTCAAGTACGATCCTCGCAAGCACGGACTAAACCACGAGAATCACGGAAATGCAGCGCACAACAGGCGCAGGGCAGGCAGCACCAGGAAATCAAGTGACGTGTTATACCGACGGCGCTTGGTCAGTTGTGGTGATGC